TCGCTGACAAGATTGAATTTCTGTGGCCCCAACACTATAGATCACTTTTTCTGTGACAGCTGGCCGCTCCTGAAGCTCTCCTGCTCTGATACACGATTGGTAGAGCTGCTGAACTTCATTATGTCCTCTGTCGTGCTGCTAGGTTCTCTGACCTTCACCACTGTCTCCTATACTTACATCATCTCCACCATCCTTAGGATCCCATCCTCCACAGAGAAACAAAAAGCTTTCACCACTTGCTCTTCCCACCTGACTGTGGTGGTTATTATCTATGGCAGCACCATATTTCTCTATGTACGGCCATCCCACAAGCTTTCATCCCTTCCCAGTAAGCTGGCAAGTGTGCTGAGCTGTATTGTGACGCCTCTCCTGAACCCCTTCATTTTCAGCTTAAGGAATGAGAAAGTGAAGGAGGTTTTCTGGGATGTCTTCAAAAAGCAAAAACAGGGGTGTAGGTTGTAGCCGTGTTGGTCTAAGGACATAGGCAGACAAGGTTCTTTGGGTGAATCTGATATCTTTTATTAGTTCCACGGGTATTGCTTAGTAAAATATTTCATTGTTTTGGAAATTGCAGACATTCTTGTTTCCTATCCATCTCACCAGCAGGGCAAGGCAAAATTCATCCTAAAGCACTCAAGGAATTGGCTGGGGTATACTACAGAGCCATTGGCTATTATCTCTAAGGTTAGGTGAATTTTCCATCTTTTGAAAAACAAATGGGATGAAGGATTCTGTGAATTAAATACCATTCAGTCTGACCTTGATACCTAGAAGAATGAAGCAGGTCATCAAGGAATCTTTTTTAAGTACTTGGAGGAGAAAATGATAATCAGGAATACCCAGCATTTCTTCATCAAAATCAAGTCATGCTTGATCAGTTTGATTTGCAGTGTTTTGGATGTGGGGAGAGCAGCTGATGCAATATACCCTGACTTTAGCAAGGCTTTTGACACTATCTTCCATAACATTCGCATCAATACACTAAGGCAATGCAGTCTAGAGGAAAGGATACATAGGCGGATATGTAACTCATTGAATTATGGCATTAAAGAATATTCACTAATGGCCCAATGTTTAACTGGGATATATTGAGTGGAGTTCCCTAAGGGTATGTCCTGGGTCTTGTTTTGTTTAATATCTTTGTGAATTATTTGGGGGATGGGATTGAGTTCACACTTAATAAATCTGCAGATGATGCCAAGTTGGGTGGTGTTGAACATGCTTTGGCAATTTTGATCATGTTTCAGAATGACCTTGATAAATTGCAAAAATGGTCTAAAATTCATTAAATGAAATTCAGTGAGGAAAAGTGCAAAATACTTCACTTGGGATGGAAAAATCACTTGCACCAATACAAATAGGGGAATGACTTGGTAGGATGAAGAGCTGCAGAAAAAGACCTGAGGGTTATAGTGAATCACAAGATGAATAAGAGTCAACAGAGTGCTCTTATTGCAAAAAAAGGCCACAGCATACTAGGTTGTATTAGCAGAACTGTCACTTACATGTCAAAAAAAGTAATTTGTCCGCTCAATCTAGTAGGAGCCTAACGCTCAAGACACATGCCTCTGGTGTGGAAGAACCAGACTCTGCCCTGTTGTCTTTGCAAACCAAATACATTCCTTCCAAATGCTCTGTTCATCAGGTCATGCATTAAACCTGACTTGTTTTCCTGCAAGGGGATGGGGAGGGAGAGGCTACATGGATAAAGGAGGCAAGAAAATGAGAAGGAATGTGACTGTGAGCTGGGAATTGCCCTGGAAGTAAAGATTCCCTGTGTTTTAACTCCTATGCCAAAAAGTTTCTTGGGACCCCAGACTTACGGGTGAGCAGTACTAGAAGAGATTTCTAGTCCTCATTGACGACTCAAGACCCCCTTCCTTACAGCAGATGTACCTCACTGAACCACTCTCACTTACGCTTCTAACACCTCCTCCTAGCCCCTCAGAGCATGCCCTTGGGCCAGCTTGGAGGGGAGAGCTGGAGTGCCTTATGGGAAAATTCCTACACAAATAGCTGGAGGTGAGAAACAATTGGTAAGCAGGTGTGAGCTAAAACTCCCTCTCAATGAAAAGGATCTAGATTCTAGAGCCTGTGTGTCCCTGCCCCTTGACTAAAACAGCGGAGGGCTACTCCCCTCATTTTAGGTTTGGTAAACACACACAGACTTGCCTGCTTCTATTGTGCCATAAACTGAAACAGAATCTTAGAAGTTATTAAGGGACAAAAATTGTGCATACATAGCCCATTATGCCTATAAATGTAAAGTGGATTTTGGCCCAGAGCCTTATTTGAAATACAGTTTCAGAATGTTCTTCTTCTAATGCACTACATTGGCCACAAGGTTTTATTTCTCCCTTTTTGCAATTGCTATAAGAAAATAAATATAGTCGAACCAGTTCAAGTACTTCAGAAGTCTTTTCCCCATTTGATGAAGGAAAATGGACTCTATCCATTTCTTGCTGTGTGACATGGAAAACACAAATCATTCTGCATGAAGATGGATCAACATTTGCAGTTTTATTGACTTCAAAGAATATGGGGTCATAGTCATCTCAGCAGAGACTGGGATGATAGAAAGCAACCACAGAAGTAACTTGTCATGACAGATTCAATTTCAGAACAGAAGTTCTTGAAAATTTCAGAACAGTGGTTCTTGAAAATCTCACCAGGACTTCTCTGCTTGTTCGGATACAGAAACACCACTCAGCAATGGTCTCAGGATGACTTGTTTGACTTCCCATTATATGCACACTTCCAAGTTACTCCAGATACTTCAATATCTCAACCACGGTGCTTAAGTGACATAAATGTTTTTGGGCAGTGTGGAAATCACAAACAGGAAACATTCTTAGATTTCATAAACTTTAGGGGCTGGAAGGGACCTCATGAGATCAAACTGAGAAATATGAAAATCTTTACTTTAAGGGTAAAGATAAGCAAGCAAATAAACAACTAAGTGACATGAACAAGAAATCAGCCCTCCTCCCCATACAGCCCTTCTCATTCTTAAAATTAAAAAAAAAAAAGTAATAGGAATCAAAACTCATTGAAGAGGTGATATATTTTATTAGACCAACTAGATATTTGAAAACAAATAATTTTACAATCTCTGCTCTCTCCTATGCCTGACGAACGGTGTGTGCGCCCAAAAGCTTGCAAATAAATAAAAAAAATTGTGTGCAAATATCTAGTTGGTCTAAATAAAAGATTTCATCTCTTCCAAGAGTTTTGATTCTTTTTGCCTCTAAACCAATACGGCTACAACATGGATAGCTGACACATGAAGGAAAAGTGATTTTACTTAAAGGTTTTCACTTCTAAGTTAGTGAAAGGCCTTAAGACTTGAGTGTTGTGGCAGAGCAGGTCAGATATTTCACTAAAGCTCCAGCACTATGAATTTCAGCTTACTTCCACATTTGTTCTGAAGGTTGCACCTCATTATCCCAACTGTAAATGGATTGTCGGAATGATAAGTCAAAAGCAACCATAGGTGATGGTCTCTAAATGACTTGTACAGAGACTACTGTCCCTTAATCACACTAACCCAGTGGAATGCTAAACTTGGATAGAGTCTGACCAGGGGAAGGGAGCTATGAGGTCAAATGCTATATAAAACTTGTCGGGAGGAGGCGTGTCTACATGGGACATTTACCATGGAGTAGACTAATTAGCTTGGCTGTCAATGTCTCAGCATCTACACATGTAGGGCTATTAGGATGCAGTAAACTAATTAACTGCATCAGGTTAATACTTGTAAAAACAAGTACTATATCCTGCTGAGGAGTTGTTTACTCTGTAGCAATGCTCATGTAGCTGCTGACTCAGCTGGTTGGGGCATGAAGGTGCTAGGGGCTACTTACATGAAGGTGCTGGGCCCTACACTATAGCACCCTTGTGCCCCAGCCAGTCCCTCTGTAGCACACTGAGCCAGGCTGGAGGAGCCCCGGGCAGGCAAGCTGGCTCCCTGGGCCCTCTACCAGCCAGGGCTGCTCTGACCCACCTCAACATGATGCAGTCTCAAGCACATGTGTAAATGTGGTGTCCAGTAGCAATAAACTGTGGCATGATAAGCTTCAGAGCATATTGTGTCACATTAATATGCATGTATAGCAATGCCCAGGGAATATTTTTTTTCAGAGAAATATAGTGGGGGCACTAAATCCCTTTGGCAAGTACTAGGTTCCAGGCTCAGTGTGCTGCAGGGGAGCTGTATTCAGCACTTTTGAGGCCACAGCTGGAGTACTGTATTCATTTTTGGGCCCCCCACTACAGAAAGGATGTGGACAAATTGGAGAGATTCCAGTGGAGGGCAACAAAAGTGGTTCAGAGGCTGGGGCACATGACTTATGAGGAGAGGCTGAGGAAACTGGGCTTATTTAGTCTGCAGAAGAGAAGACCAAGAGGGGACTTAATAGCAGTCTTCAACTATCTGAAGAGGGGTTTAAAAGAGGATGGAGCTAGACTGCTCCCAGTGGTGGCAGATGACAGAACAAGAAGCAACCATCTCAAGTTGCAGCAAGGGAAGTTTAGTTTAGATATTGGGAAGAATTTTCTCACTAGGAGGGTAGCAAAACACTGGAACAGGTTACCCAGAGAGGTTGTTGAATCTCCATCCTTGGAGGTTAAGACCCAGCTAGACGGAACCAGGATGATCTAGTTGCGGATGGTCCTACTTTGAGCAGCAGGTTGGACTAGATGACCTCCAGAGGTTCCTTCCAACCCTAATTTTCTGGTGATATGATTCTTACTCTTTCAAGCTTTAGTTAAAACCTGTCCCAATATAAAGAGGCCATGCAGGCACAAGCTATACAGCATGAATTATTGAGGAGGGTCATAACATTTTCTGGCATAGAATCAGGATGTCAATTAATCAAGGTGTACATAGTTGATAGAAAGAGAAAGATACAGGGAGTGGTAAGGTATCCTGTGTCTGCTGCCTGAAGCTAGCATGTCCATAAGGCCACTGGAAACTCCTAGACATTTCTCTTTGCTTGATATCAATCCCTATTTTTATCCAGAACCCTTCTCAATATAGCTCTCAGGGATTCCTTCACTTGCTTATTCCTCAGAGTGTATATGAAGGGATTGAGCAAAGGTGTCACCACAGTGTTGAGGATGGCCACAGTTTTATTGAGGTCCATCTCTTTGCTTTGTGTGGGTCTCAGATACATGAAGATACAGCTGCCATAAAATATGGAAACCACAATGATATGGGAGGAGCAGGTAGAGAAAGCCTTCCTCCTCTCCTTGGCCGATGGGATGCGTAATACAGTGGAGACAATACTGATGTATGAGATGGCGGTTATTGCTAAGGTCCCAATCAAGTTGATTGTAGCTACAATGAAATCTAGGAACTCCAGAAAGTGTGTGTCTGCACAGGACAGTTTAATCAAGGGTGAATTATCACAAAAGAAGTGGTTAATGACATTTGGACCGCAGAACGGCAAGCGGAACAGTACAACTGTTGGGCCAAGAATGAACAAAATGCCTCCAATCCAAGATAACAGGACCAACATGGAGCACACCCGACTGTTCATGATGGTGGCATAGCGCAAGGGGTTACAAATAGCCATATAGCGATCTACAGACATCACAGACAAGAGGAAGAACTCGGTTGAGCCCAAGATGAAGTAGAATAAGGATTGGATGAAACAGCCCACCAAAGAGATGGTCTTTTTCTCTGCAAGGAGGTTGGCAAGTGTTTTGGGGATGACTACAGAGGTGAAGCTGATTTCCAAGAAGGAGAAGTTCCTGAGGAAGAAATACATGGGGGTTTGGAGGCGCTGGTCCACAAGGGTGATGACAATAATGACCAAGTTACCTAGTACTGTCAGAACAAAAGTCCCCAAGAGCACCATGAAGAGCAGCAGGACTTGTGCTTTTCCAGCAATATTGAAGCCCAGCAGGATAAACTCTGCCACATTGGTCTTGTTCTGCAGGATCATGGCCACTTTGTATTTCATGTGCTGGGATATAAAGGAGAAATGTTGCAACTGAACACATTGAACAACAGTCTTTTCAGTCCTTGCTTCAGAATTCATTGTGTTCCCCCCACCCACTCTTTTAAGCAGTATGTGATGTCTTTGTCAGAAGACTTCATCTAGCACATTAAGCTGAAGTATGCGTCTTTGGAAGTTAAGGGTTCAAAGAATGCAAGACAGTGGAAGGGTGGGTTTGTGGTAGGGCTTCCCATATTGGAAAAAACAGATATCATTCTTCTCTGTGCCACAGACAGTGTGTTACCCCAGGGAAATTACATGTTCTTTATCCTTTAGTTTTCCTATATGTTCCCTATTATTTTTAAGGGAGAATAGGAAAAAAAAAAAATGCCCATTTTTGAGGAATTATTTTGAGTATCTTGGTGTTATTGGAACTTAGTGGAAGGTTTACATAAAATTAATGTTAAAACTATCAGCTATACTTTATTTTGGTGCAAATGACCAGACAAGGGAGGAGAGAGAGCAGTTCTGAATGACAAAAATAGCACTAGCTGTTTCTGAATCACTGGCAATTTAGAATGAGATGATCTTGACTGTTTTTCAACCAATATACTAACAAGTGAAGCATAAGTTTGAGTATTAGGGGGTGCATGACGCAGACAACCAAGTCACATCAAAGAATAGGATGACTACTTCCTTTCGCATCTGTGTATCGTATGCATGTGTGTGGGTGGCTGTGCATGTGTGTATGTGTTGTGAGGGAGGGGGAACACACATGATACCTTGTATCAGCATAAAAGATTTCAGTAAATTGTCTATGCTAGAGATTTATGTAGTCAGTATAAAACTGTCTACATTTATAAACATGACACATCCTGGAGTCCTAACACACACACACACACACACACAAAATCAGATTGGGGTGATTCTATAGTAGATTTCACTGCGGCAGATTTAAAAATGTATTGATCACAGAACTTTAAAAAAAAAAATATCAGTATTGCCTCAATGCAAGTGATCATGTATAGAGAACAGATTATACCTCTCCTTCTTCCAAAAGAATTAGATTTTAATCAATCAGTGAGACAGGGAGAGAGAGATAATAAAGCAGTGTCCAGCTGCAAAATGTTAAAAACAATTGAGAGACAAATTGGAAAAATGAATTTTTTTTAAACAGGAATATATCCTTGAGTAGGGCTAAGTCACAAGGGCTCTACCCTTAAATATTCATGTCTAACAACACGCTTCCAGTTGTGACTGGATTTGCTTGTATCTTACTGAGGAAGCAAATACAGCTATTACAGGAGACAGAAAAAATGTACTGGGAGGTACTGGGAGACAGCATATTTTAGTGTTCATTATGCTGGAAACTGTGCAAAGTACTTCCAGGCTCACCATCAAGCAGGTGGAGGGCCCACCCCCAGCACTCCTGTGCGACACTCCATGCACCCCAGCATTGCAGCATTCATGAGCCAGGCTGGTACCTTGAGTATGTAGAAAAAACAGTTAAATCTGTGTCTGTCTGAATCGCTGATTCTCTAAATCAGCATTGAATCTTCAGATTCAGCCAAATTAAATCAGGGACAGTGATCCAAATCAACAAATAGAATCACTGTCCCTGATATGGCTGAATCCAAATCCAAATTGAATAGGGCCTGCTTTGCACACCCCTAATATAGATAGATAGATAGATATTGATATCAATATCAATTCCAGGAATTCATTTAAACTTGAAGAAACAAACACACACAAAAAAGAAAACCTGTGAGTATCTGTCTATCGTCATTAACACTATGTATTTTAGGTTGCTTTATGTTAATTAATTATATGTTAATACATTTGTAGGTTTATAAGGTTTAAATCCTTTATCCTTATAATGATAAAACTTATTATTAGAGTTTTTATACTAACAATACAGAGTTTTAATTTGTAAACCTAATGTCTTTTGTTAAATCAACATGGCATACAATATTAAAAGCTGAAAACTAGCCAATTGCAAGAGCAAGGGGGAATCATCAGAAGGCGTGTGAGTTCCCAGTGAGGTTCTACTGACTCAGACTCTTTTTTCCGTGCTATCTAACATCCCAGGAAAGCATAAAAAAAAAATCTCTCACAAGTTTTGCAGAAGGCACAAAGACTGGGGAGCCAGCCAATAATGTAGAGACTGAACTGTTTTTTATGCTGAGCATGAGCACCCCATGGCCTTTGTGTTTCTATATGAGTATAAAATCATGCATTTGGCATCAAGGAATGCAGTCCATACTTACATATTGCAGGGGCAGGGGTCAGGGAAACCATAACCTGAGAAATGATGCCTCTGAAAAGCTGTCAAGGTTTTATAGACATCATAAAACTCCCAGCGAAATGCTTTCCATTGAAATATTTCTAGGTACCTCTATGCAGATTCCTCTTTTCTTCTTTTTCTACTTTGGAGAACTCAGAATACTAGCAGAGTCTCCCAATACCTGAGGAAAGGTGTTTGTGCCTGAAACTTGCAAAGAACTTTTTTCCAACTATTTAGTTAGTCTAATAAAAGATATCACATCTACCCAAAAAGCCTTGCTTGCCTATGTCATTTGACCAACATTGCTACAACCAACAACCATGCAGATTCCTCTGCATTTGGCAGTCATGCTGTCCTGACTAGCATGCTATGCTTACTTCTGGTGTCCACAAATTCAGGACATTGTCAAAATTTCATGGAGGAACCATGTAAATGATGAGGGGATTGGAAACCTAACATTATCGAGAAAGACTCAGCAAATAGTAAATGGCTTGACTACAATTGAAAGATAGCAACAGAAGGAAGAGACCCTTGATTTTGAGGTCTGTTCATTTTAGCCAAGACGATACAACAATAGAGAGCAGAAGCAAAAAGCAGCTGGTTTCTAGATAAAATCCAGATACCTAATAGTGTAGATAATTAATACTTGGGACAACTTTTGGAGCATTATCACAGGATTTATCAGTACAGAACTTTTTTTAGTCAAAATTGCATTTTTCCACCTAATATATATATATATTAGGTGGATATATATATATATTCTTTAGTGTAGTAGTTGGATTTAAATCACAAACTAACTTAGGGAAGTCTTACTGCCCATGTTATAAAAGTCAGAAATGTTTTTTTCTTTATTATCACAGCCATTCTTTAAACCTTAAAATCTGCAAATCTATTATTTGTCAGCTCTCAGACATGGCATTAATCATTATGTAATTCATATTAATAAAGCACCAGGAAATCTAAGGTGAGAAGAAATAAAGGTACTCACGTATATCAAGGCATGAGGACATAATGTATATTAGAAGCTAATAAAATATTATTAAATCCAACCGTAACACGGGTTTCCACATTTCAGGGAGCAATGGGGAAATGGAAAAAAAAAGAAAGAAATGGTCTATGCTGCTAATGCTTCTTATCTGTCCGTCTAGTGTACCTTGACTCTTACATGTCTAAAAACTCTGCTCTAAAAATATGTTTCATTAAGTATTGCGCTATTAATCAAGTAGCAATAGAAATTAAACTTTCTGAATGATTCACTCACGTATAATGGTGATAGGAATCAGATAGACAGATAAGCCAGTACCCAATTGGTAATAGAAAGAGGAGGGTTAGTTATAAATGATCTTTTCTTTCCTTACTCAGAGTCCAGGTGTATATATAATGGTTGTAACTAGCTCCTTGGAGACTGTATTTCCTGTTGCACTTGCCCTGACAACCTGTGATTGCTTGGAGAGCCATAAACAGCCCACTGTTTTCTTCAACTTTTATTTTCTCTTTTGTGCATCTTACTACTTTGAGGAAACCACTTCTCAGGGGATAAGATGGAGTGCTAGGATGAGTGCACTTGTGAGAGGGCCACAAGCTTTTTTTTTCTCTTCCCTGTAGCAAAAGTTAATGGGCAGTCTCTGTGCAAATTAGCAGCACTTAATCACATATTGTTTGAACGGTGTCTTGTCATCTTGAATTTTTTTAATAATTTCCTGGAAGCTTTTGAATAGCCATTGATTTCTGCTGCCAGCCCCAAAAAGAATCAATTCCATTCCACTGCTACCTTGCAATCCCCCTTATTCTTACAGGTGCAGCCCTAGATAACAATAGATAGACCAATCTTCTCACTCCCAGTTGAAGGCCTTACTCAGAAGAATATTTTTCCTGCTCATTGCATCTTCTGGGATGACTCCATGGTGAAATGCTTTCTCATATGCAGTTAGAAAGCATCAAGACATGTTCAGTCAGGGGCATATCAACTGATTGCCTATTATCCTGTTATTGATATTCCTCCTACATGGATGAATACCCTAACAGCTCAGCTACTAGGGTTAAAAGAGAGGTGGGGGTCCAAGCCCTCATTCTCTTCCTCTTTCATGTCTTTTGGGTACTTACACTTAACTACATGTATATGCAACTAGGTAACTACCCTGGCAGTGGAAAGTCTACTGCACATTACACATCCACATTGCATAGGTAATAGAAATGCAAAATGTGTGTAGGTAGCCCACTACTACTTCAATATATGAAGGTATCACTTGCACAGCTGAAAAACTGCCCTTTCACCCTAGAAAAAAACAAAATTTACCCTTAATCATTTTGCAGAACAGCATTTTTCCCCTTTTTTTAAGTTTGGTCTATTTTAAAAAGAAAGAATGTTAACAGGGTGAAACTGCCCTCTACAAAAAGGGAAATGAAGCATATAAATATGTTTTTCATTAGCATGAGCATCCAAAAAGAATTTGGAAGGAAGGGAAATATCTTTTCCCTGATATTTTGAGTTGAAATCAGATCTGGAAAAAAGAAACACCAAACATTATTTCCCAAGCTCTCTTTTTTGAATGCCACTAAAATCTTTGTGTATGGAAACTTCAATCTCAAAACCTTTCATATAGTACACACATCTCTTACTGCTTATATTTTATAAGAATGAAATTCAGATTTAATGCCTGAAAAGCTCCATTTGGCAAATTCTCAAAACACTTGGGTCTGAAATTTGATCGTAATCTACCAATTGGAGGATATGCAGATC